AACAGGGAAATCAAAGGCTGTGCACACAAGCAAAGCGAAGTAAGGAATTAATTCACTTCTTCCCGTGGGCAGGCAGGTGTTCAGCCATCTCCAGCAGAGCAGTAATGGTGACTTAAGAAGACAAACACCATCACTCCAAATGTCCCCTCCTTCCTCCTTCTTCCTCCCACTGAGCATGATATCATAAGGGCTGGAATACCTTTGTGCCCTTCTGTAACACATCTCAGTTAATGTTCCTAAAGCATTGCTGGTGCTTTTCAGAGAAACACTTCAGTGAATGTTCAAGTTCAGCAAATCCCTTTGATCAGTTTGGGTTATCTGTGCCAGCTGTGACTCCTCCCAATCTCAATGCATCTCCAGTCCCCTCGCCAGAGTTGCAGTATGAAAAGAAGAAAAGGCCTTGGCTCTGTGTAAGCACAACTTCTCTACGTTATCAACCTTAGGCTCAGCAAAAATCCAAAACATAATCCCAAACCAGCCACGGTGAAGAAAATTAACTCTACTCCAGCCAAAACCAGCACATTGTGGACATTTAAAAAGCAAATCATCACAAGTAAGGGTGAATCAGAGCAGGAATTTCTTCTAGCCCAGGCTTTCCTGAGCAAGGAATTCAGGATTAGAGCCTGAGAGAATATGGCAAAAGGAAAGACAAAGTTGGAAGGAGGATTTTCTGTGCTCCACATTTCCCCAGGAGGCTATTGGCCCTAAAGAATGAATTGCTTCATCAGTCTTGAATGCTTTTCATGCCTTCTTCTCCCCTGTAGAAGACTCTAAAGGAATCACCACAACATTCTTCTTTTGCTCCTTGTGATGGGCATCTTTATCAGCGAAAACCATGCCAAGGTTTTTGATTTTTTGGAGAGCTCTTGTAGACATCTAACCACAAAGTCTTGTGTCTTTTAACTCCAATTCAAGAAGTGCTTACATTTGGAGGTATTTAGTTTTGACCAACAGTCAAGTGCATAAAACTTGCCTTTAGCCAGGCCATGAATGCTGACACTGTTTTGTATTCTGCAGCATCTATGTGTGAATCTTTTATCTCCTTCTTATCAAGATGTATTCTCAGAAAAAGCAAATATAGATGAAAATTTATTTGTGATTAGGCCTAACACAAAACAAAATGTAAGACTTATACAATAGCTTTATTACCAGTGAGACAGATATAATGGAAATTTTCACCTATGTTCCTACTTCCCCAAGTATCTACAATTTCTATAGGAATAGGAATTAGGGGTCTGTGATAGCACATAACTTTCACTTGCAAAGGCATATTATTAGAGCTGTGTACATACTCTGATATAGATATTTTTTTCTGATTGTTTCAAGAAGTTTTTGGTTCTTAGGCACAAAGAGGTGCCATTTGAAAAGGATTTTTGAGGCTATAGAGTTCATGAACAGGTATTTGCTATGGGAAATTGAAATAGAGAGCATTAAAGATTTTTTTCCAAGAGTTATATGACAGCTAGTGCTTTTTCAAGTTCTCCTGAAAAAATGAATTAGTTTCATTCTTGATATAGCTCCCCTGACAAGAACTGAATCTCCTTTGCAAATGATTTGGCTCAGAGGGCTTTTTGCAGTTGTGAACATCTGATGATCACTTCATTACTGAGACCAAGTTTGCTTGGTGTCATATGCGTGATATATTAGTAGTACATCTCCGGCTTCTTTGCAATCCTCTTTTCATGTTCCTTTTTTCTAGGCTTTCAACAGCTCAGCTAGAAGCTCCTGAAAGACTGGCAACATTAGTTACCATCATTTGCTTGATACAGACTTTCACCACTTCTGAATATTTTTAGCTGACTCTTGAAGCACTATGTTAACTTGATCAGATAAAGAAAGAACACCAATAGGCCACCACTGAGCTGCTTGCTGCTGCACTGTGATTTTCTGGATCTGTGCTAGGGTGTTTTTTAGTAGAGTATCTCCCTACTGCACTACAGCCTTCACTAGAGACTTCACATTTACTAAATCTCAGGAATCATCAACAATTCCTTTGTGAAAGGTCTAAGCAAGTTACTCAATAAGAACCTCTGTCAGAAAAAAAACAAGTTTTATCAGAATGGTTATTTCCAGCTGTAGAGTTTGCCAGCACCAAGGGCTGACCTCTTTGCGGACTGACCTATTATACTATTCATGACCCATGACCACACAAATTAAAGGTCTTTTTTAAGTAGATCTGAGGTTAAGTGACACCAATAAACTGGCACCTTTGTTTTTTAATCTGACCTCCTACAGCAGGTCTGTCTTGTAATCAGATACTTGTGTTAAACAGTCCAGGTGATCAGAGTCCACAAGCAGGATTGTGTGTCTGAACCTTCTCTCTGCCAGTATTAAACATAATAGATTTGCCCATAGTTATCAGTTGACTTGGCCTGGCACCTCTTCAGATGCCTATGTCACTCTTCACAAAACTTACTCTAGATCTAGACATTCATTGCCATTTCTTCACTTTTTCAATCCTGTACTTTTGTGAAACTGCATCCCTGCACTTGCAGCTTAATGAAAGTAGGCATACATGTAGCACACTGAGGCACCGGTTCTTGCCTGCAGCTGCTGAATGCTACTATGCTGCTTAAAATAAATAAGCTAAACCATAAGCTATTACAACGGTCAAGAAAGGTCTATACAAGCCAGACAGTGAAAGCACGGGTTTGCTTTGCAGGCTGCAAAGCTGAAAATAATTTTGGAGGATTACAGGTGGTGCAAATAAGACAGCTGCAAATAGAACTTTTTTAAAAAACTTACGTCGCAGAAACTGAAACTCAGTAGCTTTTCTTTTTACTAGAAGATGGCTTGTTCTTTCTTAAGCCTGGTCCTTTTAGCCTGTAAACCAGTCCAAACTGCAATCTGTCCCTTGTTCTCATGTTTGTTTGTTTGTTTTTATTTATATTGTTTATATTATAAATATACCAAAAACAATGGATTACATGTTCCTGTCGTGTGAAGAGGGGAGATTCTCTTGCCCTTGAGTGTGGGGAAATGTCCTCGACCTGTAGTATTTTATTTGTCTGTCAATGCCCCAGGAAAATGGAGACCCTTGTGCCTGAACAGTCAGTGAGTGTCGTCTTATGGGTACGCTTGACTGATCAGTCCTGCTGGATCGGAGAGTGGTTCAACTGACTTACTCAGGGACACACAACAACAGCAGATCTTTGTGCTTCATTTGAGTGTGTTACTTGCAGCTGGCAACTTCTGGGCCTGTGAAAGGCTCACACTAACACTAACACTAGTTCATAGAATAACACACTTTATTAGTATAAAATTGTGACAGGTTAAGGTTTAAAGATTACTGGTGAAGGCATCTGACTGCAAAAACATATTTAAAGCAATACACAGACAACCTCTAGTCCCAAATAAAGTATTCATCACACACAGAATATGGCCTTTACCCAGTGCATGTGCCTATGGGGAAGAAGACAGGTTCAGCCCTTCAACTGATCCCAGCAGTTACAATGGAGTCTTTCCATTATAGTCTTTCCATTGCCTGGCTGTGGGGTCTACCCTGTGCTTCACCCTCTGTTCCATCCCCCTTAGCAGATGCTTACTGTTGTATGGGGAATCATAGTGGAGCTGCCAACTGCATTCCATCCAGGGAGCAGCAGCTGCATTTTACCCTATAATTTCTGTACCATTATAACTTCTGTTAGGACATGAATATAACTTCTCATTTTCCTATAATTTTTATCCCCAGCCGTCTTCCCACAGTTCTCCTTTCCCTAAGCTGAAAATAAAACAACAAAGAGAAAACTTCAGCACTTGAAATTGATCACTGTTTAGTTGGGGAGAAAAAGTCAGAAAAATCCACAAAAATCAAGGTCATAACATCTAGAGTGGATAGGATGGACTTAGCTCATGGAAAATCTATGGCCTAGTGTTCTCATGCAGACATCAATTTAATTTCAGTTTGTGATAGGTGATTTTCTTTATGTTACAGTAACGTAAGAGGTGTGATAATGAATAGACTGCAAAGGGATCTGGACAGCCGGGATTGATGGGCTGAGGTCAATGGTACGAGGTTCAATATGGTGAAATGCCGAGTCTTGCACTTGGGTCACAACAACCCCATCCAGCACTATGGGCTTGGGGCAGAGTGACTGGGAACCTGCCCACTGGAAAAGGACCTGGGAATGCTGCTGGTCAACAGCTGGAAGGACATGACCCAGCAGTGTGCCCAGGTGGCCAAGAAGGCCAATGGCATCCTGGCTTGTAACAGGAATAGTGTTGCCAGCAGGACCAGGGCAGTGATCATGCCCCTGTACTCAGCACTGTTACGGCTGCACCTTGAGTACTGTGTCTAGTTTTGAGCCCCTCAGTACAAAAAAGACACGGAGGTGCCGGAGTCCGTCCAGAGAAGGGCCACAAAGCTGGTGAAGGGTATGGAGCACAAGTCTTATGAGGAGTGACTGAGGGAACTGGGGTTGTTGAGTCTGGAGAAGAGAAAGCTCACTTATCACTCTCTACAACTACCTGAAAGGAGGTTGTTGTGAGATGAGTTTCAGTCTCTTCTAAGTAACAAGTGACAGGATAAGAGGTAATGACCTTAAGCTGCACCAGTGGAAGTTCAGGTTGGCATCAGGATGAATTTCTTCACTGAAAGGGTGGTCAAGCATTGGAACAGGCTGCCCAGGGAGGCAGTGGAGTCACCATTCCTGGAAGTGTCCAAGAAATGACTGGACTTAGCACTTAGTGTTATGTGTATAAAGGTTGGACTTGATGATCTTGGTTGTCTTTTCCAGCCTTAATGATTCTACGATTCTATAATTCTAAGTATTAGAAAGCCATTTAGCAGGGAAAAAGTAGCTATTTAAAGATAGGAAGAGGTGAGACTGGCAAAACACCACTGTGATTTGGAGGGAGGAGAAAGTTTTCAGAAGGTAATTTTAGTAGATTCAGTACATTCAGAGAAAATCTGACAAACGACTTAGTTCATTACTAGAAGGACTATATTCTTAATTTCTGTGTTGATGTATTGCTTTTCTCACTTAACATTTCTCCTTCAGGTTTTGAAGCCAAGTGTTCATGACATGATCCAGCTGACTTACAGGGATCAACAACCCACTTGTGAATAATGGTTAAAAACGGATCCCACCTGGACGCTTTGACGCTGGCAATGCTCCAGAATAAAACTGTCTCCATCACCCTCCCAGTTGTGTATACAGTGGTGGCTCTGATCAGCATCCCTGGCAACTTGTTCTCCCTTTGGGTGCTCTGCTGGCACATCAAACCCAAAACACCTTCTGTTATCTTCATGATCAACCTAAGCATCACGGACCTCATGCTGGCCAGCTGCTTTCCCTTCCAGATTTCTTATCACTTCCAAAGCAATCACTGGACCTTTGGCAAGACTCTTTGCAGCCTTGTGACTGTGATGTTCTACTCCAACATGTATTCTTCCATACTGACCATGACCTTCATCAGCATTGAGCGGTACATGGGTGTGGTATACCCGATGAAGTTGATCAAGTGGAGAAGAAAAAGATATGCCTTTGCTGCCTGTCTAGCTATGTGGATTTTCTTGCTACTAGCCTTCTACCCATTAGAAAGCACAGATTTGACCTATGAAGTGAAAGAATTGGGGATTATAACCTGTTTTGATGTCCTAAAATGGGATATGCTGCCCAACTTTGCAGCCTGGGTAGCTTTTCTCCTCACCCTATTTGTCCTGCTCTTCCTGATCCCTTTCATTGTAACAGTTGGATGCTATATTGGCATCATTCGGAAGCTAATTCAGACATCAAACAGATATGGTAACAGGCAGAAGACTAGATCCATCTACCTGGCGACAATTGTCCTACTGGTGTTCATCACTTGCTTTGCCCCCAACAACTTTATCCTAATTGCACATGTGATCATCCGCCTATTTTACAAGAGCAGTTTGTATCCTGCCTACAAGCTCACCTTGTGCCTCAGTTGCTTCAACAACTGCATAGATCCCTTCATTTATTATTTTGCATCCAAAGAATTTTACCAGAAATTCATGCAATTGTTTTGCCCTAAGGTACTGCTCAGCGACAGCTTAGAAAACAGAAGAGAAAGTTTATTCTCCGGCAGGACCATGTCAGCCAGGTCAATGTCAAGTGGACCTCTGGACGGGTTAGAGGGAGTAAAAGTCTATTTGCAAAGGCAGGAAAGTGTTTTTTAGTTTTAGACATCCCTGGAAGAAAGACACCTGTGAGATTCATGAGTTAACAAAGAAGATTGGCTACTCTCAAAATACCTGGCTTTTGTGACAGAACTCAATCTATACTTATATTGCACATCCTACTTCAGTATTTTCTGGTAAGAAATGGAAGCGTTAAAGGAACTGAGTTTATTCAAAAAGGCACTGAAGCAAACCCAACATTAATAATTAGGGGTTGGCTTGGACGTAGCCCTACCACAAGAGACCAAGGGATAAGTTTAGGATAAAAGTTACTTTCAAGTTGTATGATAGTGTTTAACCAAAGACTCATGATTCTCAGTGACTGTGAACTATTGCTGTACATGAATTGGAGCATACACTGAAGCTGAGTTTGGGGCAAGGGGGTTGTTTTTTTAAGCAACACGCTCGGCTTTGGGTTTGTTGGGGGTTTTTTTGCTTGTTTTGGTTTTTGGGGTTTTTTATGTATTGCTTTCTCTCTTGTTGTATTTCTATAAAAGAATGAATAAAAGTAGCATGTCATTTTACCGTTAATTCATAATGCATAGCCACTGTGAATTCACCACAACACTCACCCAACAGTTTATCAGAACCAAACCACACTGACATTTGAAAAGGTTAGGTTGACGCATACTATTTATTTCAATTTTATACAGCAATATATCTCATGCAATAGAAGGAAAGCTAGAACTAATAATGTTTGCAACTACTTCAGCTGCTGAGTGGATTATATTTTAATTTATTGAAGTTATTAATTTCTCAAGACTGCAGGGAGCAGTTTTAAAAAACAAACAAACAAACAAACAAAAAAAAAAAAAAAAAAACCACAAAAAAACCCCACAGATTTTCTCACATTAACATGTACTCTGGGCTATATGTAGAAGAGCCATCCCTCTTAGCAGAGAATTTAGCTTTATATAATGCATGGGCAATGATTTTATCTTCCTTACAGTGATGGTGTGGATTAATAACCAGATTTTCAGCTGGATGATTGAGAATTCAGCCATAGACTGGAGAGTGATTCTGTGCCAGCAGAAACCAGTTGAAAACCCATCCCTATGGCCAGATGTCAGAAACAGATATCTTTCAGGCAGGCAAACAGAAAGAAGAAGAGAAAAAGGAAAGTAAGGCATGAAAATGAAAGTTGTACCAAATACCCTGATAATAGGTTACAGTAGGTGGATTGTGCAGTCCTATGTTTGGAATGCTTCTCTGAAACAGCCTTCTCCAGCTTGTTTGCACATACCATGCCATGTTTTTCTTTTAATTCTTCTCACTTCTCTGTGTGCTTGGAAAGACAACAGCAGACCATACACTGGGGAAAGAAAAAGGCAAAGTTTTTCCTGCAGTATTTACAGCTTTTTGCCTACCTCTAGCCCTCACTGATAGTGGAGAGCCAAAATACATCTGAGAGTGCTAGACAAGTTTTCCCTCACAAGCGAGACAAAGCTATACAGTATCCTTTTGTGGCACTGCAACACCCAAGGTCCTTAAAGTCTGTCATTTTTCTTTCAGTATAACATAACTGAACACAATTTTCCACCACTGCTCACCATGAATGTGTTCATGATAGATGCTGGAAAACCACAAAATGCACCATGAAATATTTATGTGTCCTACCTTCTGCTAAACTATCATCAGTTTTTGGAGAAGAATAAACACGAGTGGAACTAGTACTACTTTACCAGACCTAGTAAAGCCAATGGGAACATTCAATTTCTGTGACATTTCAAGTGTTAGTTTTAATTGATCTTCACATTTTCTGCCTACAAGGCCAACCTCAGTGATATGTGAGGTGCTTAAACCTTCCCATCAATTTGCCTGAAAGATACTCTTCAGCATCTGCTTTCACAGAATTCAAGCTTTCTCACTGTCAAAATTGTTTAACTGTTTTCAGCATTTTTGCTGCAGGAGAAACTTTTTTGGAGGTTATACTGAAATATATCTCTTTTTTTTAATATGCAAATATTTTTACAATGAAAACCATTACCTCTCCTATCTCTAATGCAGGCTCTGTTTGATCTTGAACCTGACCTGTGAGTGTATAGTCCCTCCTAAAATGTTCTTCAATGTGCCTGAAGTGTAACTGACACCAAAAAGATCTAAAAGGAAGAAACCTTCCACTTTGGACCTCAACTGTTATATTTTGAAAAATATTGAAATGCTCCTTTTGCAAGAGAAAAGGATGCTCACAACTAATTGAAAATGTTCTTTTTTCCATCCCTCCATCCTCACACAGCTCAACGTAGCCCTTCAGGTCTCTTCTGAAAATGATTAAAAATAAATAGGGAGAATGCCTCAGGTACAGATTCGGGTACAACTTCATATTAAGTAGCCTCTGGTTAGCTCAGATTAGGTGACATTCCCATTTAGGTCAGTGGGACTGTTCCTCGAGAAAGGAATATAAAAATGAACTGAACAACAGCAATCTTTTGAGTCTGATGGTGTATACTGGGAAGGCTTGGAGAGTTTTTGATTAGAGAGGAAGAGAATAAATTATTTTTAAAAGTGGCCCAATATATTGTTCTTTGATCCTGGAAACACATTCCTCTGGGGCATCACGAGAATAATGACTTCTACCTTCCTTGGACAGTGGGTGTGAGTTGACATTCACACACACACACACACACATAGATATATACATATATATACACACATAAATGTAGATTGCAATTTGTGAGGTTATTGAGAAGTTCATGTCTATGTTAGCTTCACTTTGGAGAATATGAGCCCTGGGAAACATGCTTACTCTGTAGTTAGTGTAATTTTACAGAGAAGACAAGAATGCTTCTGTTTGTTTTGGAGGTTGGAGGGTTTATTGTGTTGTGGTTTTTTTTAATTATTGTATAGAAATGTAATCTATGAATGTGCTTGAACTTTTGTGTACATAATAATAATAATAATAATAAAAAATAAAAAGGATGTGATTTATGATTCATTCCCTTGTTTTCACCTGCCATGTGTGAAAAACTTCCAAACATAGAAGAGGGCAGGGAACCTGAGTTATGGAATAAAATTACTCTGTTTCACATTGTTATTGTGCTTTTTTTTAGATTTCTAGATTGTTTTCAGTCTCTTATTTTCCCCATGGAATTTGAAGATTGATTTTTTTCTTTGCATACCTGTCGAGGTTTTTTGTTTTGTTGTTGTTGTTGTTGTTTTGTTTGTTTGGGGTTTTGTTTGGGGTTTTTGTTTGTTTGTTTGTTTTGTTTTGGGTTTTTTTGTTTTTTTTTAATGTATATCTTAAAACTTGATATTGTCATGGCCACACCAAGTGACTTCAGTCTCTCCCCATAAGGCTTCCCCTCAAGGTCCTTTACCATCTTCGTTGCCTCCTTTGGATGCTCTCTAAGAGCATAGTATCTTTCTTATACTGCGGTGCCCAAAACTGCACACAATATTCAATATTGTCACAGATAGCACCTACAGGGACTGGAAAAGACCAAGATAAGGGCATATGGGATGATCTAGGAAATTATTATAAAATCTTACAAGTTAATTGTTTAAGACTGTTCATCTCAGAAAAGAGACAATGTAATGTAGGTAGGAAAGAATTCTGCAAAATCCTCAGAGAAGTGGAAAAGCTAATTTGAGAGAGATTCACTGCCTTTGGCCAAGCAATAACTTGGGAATAACATATTAACTAATGAGATCCAGTCTTCTTGCTAGTCTTCTAATATTTTTCCTTAAAGTCTAAGCAGCTGGAATATATTATCAAATGAAAAGACTTTCAAACCTCTTTAGTTTTAAAACAAGACGTTTGGAGCTGCCAGACAGACTATCTTCTAACTTTTAGCATAAATACCTCAACTCCCTTCTTGATTGTCTTAGCTCATGATGATGGCCTGCAGTCAGACTTTTTCTTTTCCTTCTGCAGAAATTTTCAGCACATGGACACTCATGGTTCTCTTTCCCCGGTTTCTTCACCACATGAACTGGCTCTGGCATGTCACAATTACTCATATGCAGAAAGTCAAGTGCACATGGTGTCCTGCTGGGAGCTACCAGGGCTAATTGTCCTTTGAAGCTTTATCCATTATGTTCCCAAACCTTAACTGCTGTTGTTGGATATGGTCAAGTACCAGAAAAATGGAGAAGTGTTTTGTTGAGGCCCTTAAATCAGTAGAAATGGGAAGGTTTTGCTGCTCTGCTGAGGAGCTTTGTCAAAGGAGAAAGGACAACAGACTTAAGGGAGGTATAATCAGATTCAAGCAAGAGATGGGAGAGGGGATACAGAAATAACCTCTGGGGTAGCTGGACAGAGAAATACTGTAACCAACAGTCCGCAAAGAGACACAGAAAGTCTGCATTAGTCTCTCTGCAGTTAGAGAATATCTGTAAATAGTTTTCTTCATAAACAGCCAGTTTAGTTTTAGAAACATGGAGCCTTTTCAACATTAAAAAAAAAAAAAGAGCAAATCTCCAGATCTCTGCTGCAAGGAAAGGAATGTGATTAACAGACAAATAAACCACTACCTAGATACAGAGCAAACATCTCGCAGAGGGACTCAGATCTCTGGAAACATGGGCTTGCCATGCACAAAAGGTGCAACTTATCGATCAAAATAGATACCCAAGTGTTGCCCTAAGCATCTTATTGCTTGGCAGCTTTCAGCTTGACTTCTTCCTCTGTTCCCTAAATTTACCTGATACCTGCTCTGTTTATTGGTTGCAAGCAGACATCCAGGTGTTGGTAGATCTCTGTGCTACCATGGACCCACAACACAAAAGCAGTGTTGGTATCCCAGGACTGTTACCACTTGTTTTTTTGACAGTTATCTTGTATTTTGCCATCTTCATGTTTGTAACAGCAGGTTGCTTATCTGATGTAGGCTCATTACCTGGGTAATAATATTCCTGGGGACCTCAGCAAACATTTCAATAGCCTTCAGGTCTTTCTCACCTCCCTAGACTCACATGGCTTCAGAAAATAAAGGATAATATATAAGTTCAATGACTGGAAGCCTCTTCCCCTCAATTACCTCTACAAAGAGTCTGTCCACCTTCTCAATTAGAAGCTCTATATGGAGTGCAGTGGCTTTTTCTCCCTCAAAAAGTTTCAGCACTGCAACACTGATGGTTTGGTTTCTCCAGTTCCTCATTATTATCAACAGGTTGATATTTTTATCTTCCCCTATTTCATCTGCATTTCATAGTAAATGCAGAATGCATCAGTATCTCACCCTATTTGCATGGGTAATGCAAACTACTCTGTACACTTACGAACAAAATGTCCATCTTAAAAATTGTTCAGCTTCCTGTCAATCTAAACTCCCAGGTCCCTTTCTGCCTGGCTGCTCTCCAGTCACTCTGTGCCCAGCCTGTAGCTCTGCAGGGGATTGTTGTGGCCAAAGTGCAGGACTCGGTACATACATGTACATACATGTACATAGATGCACGGATAGACAGTAATATAATGTAATCTTTATAATTAAAACTAGGAATGTGAGCGTTTGTGGTGTGTGGCCTTTAGTTCTTAAAAGTTACAGCTTTTTAGAGCTGCTTGGAAGTTAGTGATCAAATGCGCAGGAAAATGACGGGATGCCCTGCCCTCTGGTGGAGATTTGGATAATAAACATAAAAGCTCCACAAACGTTCTCTGCTTTAGAGCCTCGGAAGTTACTTTCCAGAAGAGTTGGGATTCAAGTTGAGACAATAAATATTCGCTTCTCTGCATCTTATTTTCATTTCCCCTAGCTTTATACCGTTATCTTTGCAGTTATCGTTATACTGTACAAGCAGAAGGAAGAATTGGTTTTCACACTTAGGCAACTACATATTTGCATCTTATATCATTCACCTGTACATACAACTGTTATAAACACACACACATATATAGGATGTGCATGCTACATAATATATACATATGTACATGCACGTTTTCCCCAAAAATATTTTATGAGCTTTTAAACATGTTTTTCAAATATAAACAATTCACCAACAGTGGTCTGCTATGTTATTTCTTTTTGTCTAGAGATTATGTGAGTGTTAATGGGAGAGAGACCTGGGCAATGCTGTGGTTAGAGGTGAAACTGCCTGCAGAGCACAAATCAGCCCTGTGACTTATTTAAGAGAAGCTCATGGATTCAATTAATCCACTGCCCCTCAAACACACAAACACACAGATACCTAGAGATGTTGTGAGCAAACACTTAGCCTCCTGTCCCACTGATTACAGGCTTATTAGCCACTGCCCAGTCTTCCCCTCTGAGGCTGCTCGTTGGCCCCATGCTAACAACATAGAGAAAGCAAGCTGCAGATCAGAAGTTGCTCTCAGCAGCAGACATTGGCTGTAGCAGCAGCTGGGAACGTCAGCACTAGAAGCATATATAATGTATGTAATGTTGCTGCTATGTCATGTAAATCGGGATGTGCTTCCAGCACAAGATTTTATCCTGGGAGAGGCTATAGCACACATTTGATATCAGGTGTAAACCAGCAGCAAGTGTTCTTTTTTTTTTCTTCTACGCTACGTTGCTGCTGGGGACCTGGCAGCTTGTCCTCTTGGAGAACAACCCTGTCATTCTGTGCTCCTCTTGCTAGGATTTAGTTGTCTTCACAGTGAGATTTTTTCAAGGTTCTAGGCTTTTCCTCTTTGCAATACCTTTCCTGTGGCAGAGGCCATGGAATCTGAGCTCTTTGAATTAATGAGGCTGTCCTAGCAAAGACAAGCTGCCCTGTGGAAGGTGAAATGCTCATTCCCTTCATAGCAACTTTATATCTAAGTCCCTAGGATTCACTAATTTCTTCACAATGGAAAGGCATTGTTCCCCAAACAAGGTGATCCTGTGCATGCACAGGTGGCTCAGACAAATAATACACCCCAGTCGAAATACATGCACTCATTGCAATACATATAAAAGTTGGGATAAGAATTTGATGATCGTGGTGTTTTTCTCATGCTTGAAGGTGTTACTGTGATGGCCACAGAGTAAATGCATAGGCAGAAAAGCAGAGAAGCCCAGAATAAAAATACTGAGGAGAGGTCTCTGCAGTTCAGAGCTCTAACTGCTATTCTGCTTTTGTTCAAAATACCTTGGATATTTGAAAAAGTCAACAATTTCATAACCAACCTTGGACAAGCTAATCTTTGACTAGCACAGTCAGCCACGACAGAAATTTCACCGATAACTGCTGGTGTCACTGATCTTCACCTCGGTCATCTCACTGCAGCCTCACACTTGCTGTGCCTGACTCTTGCAAGGCTACTATGGAGCAGTTAGTAATCACTGCTTGTCAAACCTCTCCCACCCAGGGCAGTTTACGGGATGTGGTTTAGCTTTCCCACACAAGGTTGCTTGGTTTGACATTTAGACCAGCGTAAATAAGATGTAAGCAATGTAAATGAAAACATGTATTTCCATAGCTTAGTGGTTTTGTCTTTTAAATAAACATAATCACTACTTGGCTTGTAAGTTTAACAGAATAACAAATTTGGTAATTATCACGCCTTAAAAATAATAATCAAAGAGTCATACCTCATTTTCTCACATGAAAAACCTCCTTTATTGGTTTCCATTTTCAGGCATTGTCTGAACTTTCATGGAAAATTGTTGATGAACTTTTTATATTTGAAAAACAAATTTAAAAGTTCATAAAATATTTTGGGGAAACGTGTGTGTACATATTTTTTCTTCCATTTATTTATTGGTTTATTTATTTATTTTACTTTCAGAAAGTCTTTTGTGCAAAGCAGAGGAGCAGCATCCAAACAGAATTCAACCAAGGGAAACAAATCTTGCTTGTCTTACTCTTCAGTTAATTGGACACCGCACCTAAGACAGGGGTTATGTTGCATCTCTAAAGGCTGTACAGGTGACTGGAGACAGATCTGTGTTTGTTCCTGTCTGTCAAAATAAGTTGACAGGAACAGGTGTTCTTTCATGTCAAGTCCCTTGTTTATATACTTACATAGGTTGGGATGGAGTCACAGTTTCATTGCTTTGTTACAGCTTCATGCCAGTGAAACTATCCTGGAAGACTGAACAAAATGAGGAAAAGGAGAAGACTGAGCCCGTTGGTTTGAGATGGAAAACTTTGCACTATCGTCTTATTTCTCTGGAGTGTCTGATTTCAGTTTATCATGCTTGTTTATATCTGACACAAAGCAAGCTGTAGTATAGAGAGATGACTCTAGATAAGAAATGTGTCCCAAATTCTAGGAACATCCACACAGTTGCAACTTCCCATTCTCAGGAAAGAGTCACTATTGCAGTCACAATGAAGGTGTACATGGATTAGGATTTACAATTAAGTTAAACTTGTAGGATTGCAATATTTTTTCAAGAGGAATAACTCCAAATCTTTGCCTTATGTGTGCCAGGAAACACGTTTCTGTTACCTGATGAGATCCTTGTCCTTTTATTCCATTAACAATTACATTAGTACCATATGAAAGATACTCTGGTTTTCATTTCTGTAGCATCTTTCAGGCGTCAGAAGATTCCATTATTCAATGCAAACTTTTGTTTTAATGACTGGATATATTTTTAATGCTAGAGGACACACTTCACTTTTTTCCTAGCCAACTGAGAAAATATGCACCATCACATTATTTGTAAGTTACTGGAAATAAATCTGAGTTTTTATATTCTTTTTCTACTACTTTTTCTATTCAATAAAAAGAGCATAATTGCTCAAAAGGGTATCATTAAAATTTTATAATAATATGACAGGTGATGATAATAATAGAATCATAGAATATTAAGGGTTGGAAGGAATCTTAAAGATCATCTAGTCCCACCCACCCCCCCATGCCATGGCCAGGGTCACTTCCCACTACACCACATAGTTCAAGGCCTTATTCAACCCGGCCTTGAACAGTGCCAGCGTTGGGGCATCTACAACCTACCTGGGCAACTTGTTCCAGCATCTTACCACCCTCATAGGAAAAAGACTTCCTTCTAATATCTAGTCTAAATCTCCTCTCTTTTAGTTTGTACCCATTACTCCTTGTCCTGTCACTACACACCCTTGTGAAAAGTCCCTCTCTGGCTTCCCTGCAGGCCCCCTTCAGATACGGAAGGCTGCTGCGAGGTCTCCACGCAACCTTCCCTTCTCCAGGCTGAACAACCCCAACTTTCTCAGCCTGTCTTTGTAGGGGAGGTGCTCCAGCCCCCTGATCAACTTCATGGCTTCCTTTGGACTTGCTCAAACATTTCCATGTCCTTCTTATGTTGGGGTTCTTTCTGACCTAAGAAATGCATGATAACACCTCTTCACAAAATACTTCATGCCAGCATTAGTAGAAAGAAGGAGATGGGATGTTAAACATGGCTTCTGTGGTGGGCCCTGTACAGGTGTGCACTGGTGAGCCACACCTTGAGTACTGTGTTCAGTTCTGGGCCCCTCAATTGAGGTTCTGGAGCAGGGCAGTGAAGGTAGTGAATGGTCTGGAGCACATGTCCTGTAAGGAGAGGCTGAGGGAGCTGGAGTTGTTTAGCCTGGAGGAGGCTCAGGGGTGACCTCATCACTCTCTACAAATACCTGAAAGGAGGCTGTACCCAGGTGGGGGTTGGCCTCTTCTCCCAGGCAACAGTAGAGAGGACAAGAGAACATAATCTTACGCTGTGCCCGGGTAGGTTTAGGTTGGACATCGGGAAGAATTTCTTCCCAGAAAAAGTGACTAGAAATTGGAATGGGCTGCCCAGAAAGGTGGTGGAGTCACCGCCTGGGACGTATTTAAGGAAAGAAAGGTATTTAATTTAAAGAAAGGTGGTGTTATGCTCTAGTTGACATGGTAGTGTTCGTTCACAGGTTGGCCTGGATGTCCTCAGAGGTATTTTCCAAACAGTTGTTCCCGTGATTCTGTGGTTTAGGCCCACGCCAGCGGGTGCGCAGCTGATGACAGGCGCAGCTGCAGCTTCCCAGGAGAACACCCTTCCTCTCACGGCGGGGCGGCCGCCGAGGTAGCTCTTTCCCAGCGGCGAACACCCACAGCCGCCAAGGACATGGCCCCAAGCCTCCCCTTTCGCCTTCGCTCCCCGGCCCGGCTCCGCCCCGCGGCTCCGCCGCCACATAAGGCCGCCGCCACCTCCCCGCCCCTGCCCAGCGCGCAGCGGGAGGCCGAGGAGCGGCGGCAGCCATGGTGTTGAACCCGGTGCTGGGGAAGCTGGTCAGCAAGCGGGTGGTGCTGGCCAGCGCCTCGCCGCGCCGCCGGGAGATCCTCACCAACGTGGTGAGTGCAGCGCGGCCGGGCGGCGCTCGCCTCGCCCGGGCCGCGGTGTGCGGGCAGCGGCCGCCTCCGGCCGCCGGGCCGGGCCTGCGGGGCCCGCCCGCTCCCTGCTCCGTGGGATCGGGGGGAGCGGGCCGGGGGGAGCATGGTGGCCGTGTCCTTTCCGTAAAGCACCCGTGGAACGCAAAGGAGGTCGTAACTCGTCGTTTCACACACCATTCAGCCCCTGCGGAGGAACGTGTCACCCTCGCAGGGCAGGCTGCGGGAGGCTTTTGAATAGCGCTGGGGTATTACCCATCGCATTTAGATTGCTCGGTGTTATTTTTCTTAATAATTCTACCGAGAAATTGAATTAAAATGAGAAAAGTAACTTCAAAGTAGGAATATTTGGAGAAGTGCTGAGGTTCAGGCATGTACTAAGTTATTAGAAACCTAAGGTGCCTGCTGAGTGTAGTAAATTTGCAAGTGTAACCTGGAAACAAAAAGTAGATTTTTATTTTTTTTTTTACAAAAGCATACAGAAACTGGCTCGTTTTGCGTTCTCTTTATCACATGTATAAGGACACGTGAAGTGTGGTAAAGCTCCTGTAAGACTGTACTGCTGTTGCACAAGTAAAGTTGTGTAGATAGACTCAATTTACAAAAAAAAATCCACTCGTAGAATACTCTGTTTGTGAAGCACATAAGTTTTATACTGTTAGTTCTTACAGGAAAAGACTGATGAAATTACTAATGCAATTAGGTTCTGATAAGTAAGAGTAAGATCAAATAAGCACGCCAGTTTAGAAGTCTCTCTGACAGGTTTTTTGTTTGCTTTGGTTTAGGCTGTTTGCACATAATATGTGTGTACTAAACACCGTGGTAGAAACACTGTGTTATTCCCCTAGAGGTTTGCCGGGGGAGGCAAGTTAAAGGGGAAAGAGCAAGAAGTTAAATTTGCCACTTGGTTAATTATGCCTTGTGAGCAATGTTTAATAACGAGACCAGATTGATTGCATCACTTTCCTCGGTTACAGGGCCTGCGTTTTGAGGTGGTTCCATCCTGGTTTAAGGAGACGCTTGAAAAGTCATCTTTTGCAGCCCCTTTTGAGTATGCTGTGGAAACAGCAAGACAGAAAGCTCTTGAAGTAGCAAACAGAATGCATGTAGTAAGTAACTAACTATTCTGGCAAGAAGATTTTTGTCTTTAGGTGGTGTATGTTCCTGTGACTCATTTTGCATGCACTGCTTAAGTGATCTGAATCCTTTTTTCCTCCACTGAAGGTGAATGGTTATTTTCCTGACATTTGTGAAATTATGTGTCTAATCAAAATTCTCATGCCTGCAGTTCAGGCTTTCTACAAACTGCAGTAGCCTGCATCCTTTGTTAGCAGCACACCTACTCTTGTTTGGAAGATAGTTCCTTTGAAAAGGTGTGTGGTTGACCTAATTCCAGGTGTTTGTTGATTGTGAAGACAGACTATGGAAAAACCCTGATGTGAATCCAGTGCTTTGCTGTAGCTTTCACTGAACAGTAGTGACAAGCTTAGAGTTTGTGAGTATAGAGGTACCAGAAGAAAGCAGAAAAAAAGGACAAATTTTATTCTGGACAAAGAAATACTGTTTCATTTTAAGAAAGGAGAAGTTGATGTGCTTTCAGGTTCTGTAGACAAGAGCATAATTTTGTACCCTAAATTTTATCAAAACCAGTGATGCAACTTAAGCTGTCAGTGGTGTATTTGACTGATGATCTTGACTGTGATCACTGTGTTTGAGCCATAAGGCTGTTCTGTACCAGAACCTATTTTGAAGTCTAGCTGATTGAATCCCCCAAAATTCACCATAATAATTTCTTAATAATAAAGCTTTGAAAGAGAGGGGTGTGTTTGGTGCTAGACTGGTGGCAGGAAAGGAATATTGAACACTTTAAACTAACTGTATTGCCAGAGGTCACCATTCTTCAAAGCAAATATTGCATGATCTCCAAAGTAAATCGTTACCCAGTTTTCTGTCAACTACTTTTCAGACAATGATACAGCATTAGGAGAGTGGATTTTAAACCCAACTTCATTAAATGACTTACTTTGGGCTTTCACTGCAAAACACTGTGCTGGGGATAATGCTGGTTCAGTGGATTTCAAAATACTTCTTCATACAGGAATTAGTACCTCTAATTCCAGACATCATTAAACAATTCAAAGCCCATCAACAGCCTTTCTGTTGAAGAATTGTCTCCCTGTTTCAATGTGATGGTCACAGTTATAGATAGTTTTCTTATCATGATCTGTATAACTATGTATCTTATAACATGCAAGCAAATCAAAACTCAGCTGTAAGGACAAGTGCAATTTCAAGTCAAGAAAAAGCTACAACAATTTTTTATATTACCCTACCTCTCATTACCAAAAAGTGGACTGTATGTGTTCCCTTTTGAAAGAGATAAGTGAAGTGTAGCTGGAGAAAATGGTTTTCGTTTTTCAACAGAGCTTGGCTTGGAAATACAATCCTAGAGGGCTGTATTCTTTGGCTTCCATACCCTTCCATAACCTGGCCTCCACAAAGGCACTTCCTTTAAAGGACTTGTCTTGAGGATCAGGTTGACTTTTGAGAATGCCTTTATTTCCTGAATGCAGTTGTTCATTAGCAATGTATTTGAGCAAATCTGTGATGCGAGAATGAGCTGCTCCAGCTTCACTTTTATGGCAATATAAGTGATTGCTGTTTTGTACGCAATGCAAAAGAAGAAACTGTCTTGTTTTCAAGTCAGTGTAGAGACCTCCTTGTAAACCAAGAAACTGATGTTTTCTTACTGTAAGTTTAAAAGGTTTCTACCTATTCTGACAAATTATTATCTTCTTTCTTTATGCCTTTGCAGAAGCACATGAGAACACCTGATGTTGTCATAGGAGCAGACACTATTGTGGTAAGAAGTTTTCTGTGGTTTAGCATTATTTTATGACAAGTCTAGAAAATACTGGTATCTTTAAAGTTTGAAAGCTGCCTTCACTGTGAAGTTATACCTGCATTATGTTATGTATTGGTGTTTGCGGATCTATCTTTTTTCCCAACAAGGTAATTTTTGAAATCTCAAGAGCCAGAGGCCTTGCTCCTGGTTTTGCACACACTAGTATGGCATAAGTATTGCCTTGGATCCTCTAGTATGTAATGGAAATCCTGTTCTCAGGCAATTGGTGGCTGTCAAAGTCCAGATCATGTGAACTGTTCAGTGTTGTGCCTTATAGAAGGCATCTCCATATTTGTCATCTCCACAGAGATGGTGCATGGTTAAGAACAGAAAAAGTTGAATTGACCTTTTGTTGAGAGCTGCCGCCACTGGAGGGGGTAGAGTGTGACACTCATTATGTCCTTGACCCTAAGTTACCTGTTCTACCAAAATATCTGTGCTTCTTGCTCTACTCAGTAGACTCATTTTTGAAGCCCTGACTGAAACCATGGTTTAAACATAATTTCTGACCTCAGTTTCTGAAAAGTAGTAAAAAGCAGCACACTCACTGTCTTTCTGTTTTAGTCTGTGGATGAGCAGATCCTGGAGAAACCTGTTGATAAGCAAGATGCCTATAGGATGCTGTCAAGGTCTGTAGTTTTAACTAAGATTCCAAATGTGTATATTAAACTGTTTTCAAAGGAACTGTACTGATTCCTTGATGTATATGAGAATCTCCATGGACCAGATTTTTCAGT